CCCAGCCCCCCCCCCCCCAGGGAAAAGGGAAGGCGAAGTTTCATCAGAACGCGGAATGGATCGCGCTTGCGCACGGGTGACCACAGCCCCCCCCAGGTGGGAGGGGGAAAAAACAGAGTCCATGATGATCTCACGCTGACTGTCATGTTGTGGGAGGCGTGAGAGCGCGTCAGCCAGGGAATTAGCCGTCCCAGGGAAAGTACGAAGAGTGAAGCGAAACTTAGCAAAGAAGTCCGCCCAACGAAGTTGTTTAGCGTTGAGAGAACGGGGGGATTTCAGCATTTCCAGATTTTTATGGTCAGTCCAGACTTCAAATGGCAGTTGCGCCCCCTCCAACCACTGCCTCCAAGTGGAGAGAGCCAGCCGGATCGCTGATGCCTCCTTCTCCCAAATCCCCCAGTTTCGTTCAGCGTCAGAAAACTTTTTAGACACAAATGCGAGGGGGTGTAAACGACCATCTTCCCCTTCTTGCAAAATAGCGGCCCCCATTGCCACATCCGAGGCATCAGTTTGGACAATGAATTTTTTAGTTTCATCAGGGCGCGCCAGCACTGGCTCAGAGGTGAACATCAGTTTAAGTTTCTCAAAAGCCTCTGCGCAAGCAGGGGACCATTTAAGCGGGGCGCCTGGTTTCGTAGCATCAAAACCCTTCCCCTTGGTCTTTAGCAAATCAGTCAGAGGAAGGGCAATTTGAGCGAAATTCTGGATGAAATTTCTGTAAAAATTGGCAAATCCGAGGAACATTTGCAATTGTTTGCGGGTCCTGGGGGGTTCCCAGTCAAGTACAGCCTGTATTTTAGCAGGGTCCATTTCCACCTTCCCCCCAGAGATGCGATAACCCAAAAAGTCAATGCATGTCTTGTGGAATTCACATTTTGACAGCTTTGCAAACAAGTGGTGTTCATAAAGTCGCTTAAGGACCTGGCGCACCAATTTAATATGCGACGGGAGGTCCTGAGAGTACAGCAACACGTCATCAAGGTAAAGGACCACTCCTTTGAACAAGAACTCATGTAGGACCTCATTGATTAGGTTCATGAAGACCCCCGGAGCCCCTTGAAGCCCGAAGGGCATAACGAGGTACTCAAACTGCCCCAAAGGGGTATTAAATGCAGTCTTACTTTCATCCCCCTCCCGAATGCGCACACGGAAATATGCATCTCGGAGGTCAAGTTTCGAGAAGATTTTGCCCTTGGTGGCCTCAGCTACCAAGTCCTTGATTAGCGGGAGGGGGTAAGCATTGGACAAAGAAACAGCGTTCAGACCCCTATAATCAGTGCACAATCTAAGCCCCCCGTCTTTCTTCTTTCGGAAAAGTACAGGCGCGGCGAAAGGGGAGGAAGCCGGGCGAATGAAACCGCGGGCTAGGTTTTTATCAATAAAGTTCCGCAGTTCAACTTTCTCAGCCGGCCCCATCGCATAGATTTTACCTTTAGGTAATTTACAGTCAGGCAAAAGTTCAATAGCACAGTCAGTAGAGCGATGGGGGGGCAATTCGTTAGCTTCATCTTCGCCAAACACTTTCGCCAAGTCTCTATACTCTCGAGGCAAAGAAGCTAACTCTTCCGGCTGCAAAGCGCCGCAGGGGAACTGTGCGGTCGGCTGGTCCCCCCACGAGTCCAACCAGCAGTGATCTACACATTTAGCCGACACAAATTTGACAACCCCTTCTTCCCACAAGATGTAAGGGTCATGGGTAAACAACCAGGGACTCCCCAGTACTAAGTCAAACTGCGATTTAGGGGTAACAATGAAGGATCTGGATTCCCAATGATCGCCAGCCCCCAACCGCAAAGCCATAGTCTCGTGTGTACAAGGTTCCATGGGTGCCCCATCCATTTGGGTAAAAATGATGGGAGACTTCAAGGGGACTATCCCCGCTTCCAGTGCCAATAACACTCTAGGGCTGATGAGATCCCTCCCACACCCAGAATCAATCAACGCTCTCACCCTAACGTGGGTCCCCAGGAGCGGATTCATTAACGAGACAGTCACGAAAAACAGGGAAGGGGTTTCTCTCACCACCTTGGGCGCAGCATTAGAATGGCCTTGTCGTTTTGCGCCTCTCACAACAGGCCGTTGTCGTTTTCCGCCGTTTCAGCCACCACCTCTTCTTCTGACTCGGCAGCAGACGGTTCGATTCCCTCCGGGCCTTGGGCCGCCTGCAGAGCTTTGGAGAAACGCGGTTTAGCCATCCCCTTCTGCCTCGTCAGTGGCGTCTTAGGGCTCGGAGTAGGCGGCTTGTCTTTTACCTGACGGCTGCCACAATCCACAGCGAAATGCCCCTTCTCCCCGCACTTGAGACAGAGCCCCATCTTCATACGTAGTTCTCGTGCCGATTCCGACAGGCGTTGAGTCTTGGGTCTGGAGGCACTGGCAGCGGCGGGTCTGTTGGTCGTAGCAGCCAAGTCGAGTTTGATGGTGGTGAGCCGATCCTCTGCATTTTCAGCTTCCTGGGTCCAGGCCATCAGGGAGACAGGATTGACAGTCTTCAGAACCGTTTCTCGGATGTCTGCGTTGAGTCCCAATCGATACATCTCAGCCAATATATGATCAGGGTAGTCTCGGAGCTTTGCTGCTTGCTTGTGGAATTCCAGAGTGTACTCGCGAACCGACTTCTTGTTCTGGCGGTAGGTGCGGAGAAACGCTTTAGCTCTTTGGCTCGCGTTGACATCTTCAAACCTCGCCCGCAGCGCCCACATGAATGCTCGCAAATTCAAAAGTTCCGGACCGCGGTCATTGTGCAGTCCAACATACCATGTGGCGGCGTCTCCTTTCAGTCTTGCCGAGATGACATCAATAAGACCAGCTTCATTTCGGAACAGGTGTCGACTCTCTTCTACGAATTTATGCACCCTCACCGTGAAGAAAGCGAGTTCATCTGGGTTGCCGTCAAAGGTAGCCTCCAGTAGATCTTTGGGTCTGGGCCGTGGAGGCCTTACCAACGGGCCCAGCTGACCCGGAACTCCCCTGAGAGGGAGACCCGGACCAACCGGTGGCCCCGCTGGCATTGGCCTCAGCGGCGGCGGCAGACCCGGCACCGGCGGACCCCCCGGCATCGGCTGTTGCACAGGCCCTTGCTGAGGCGGTCCCGCCGGCGGCTGTGTATCCCCAGTTCTAACAATATGTTGGATCCCCAAGCATCGAGAATAAATCCACGTTTTCAAGAAAAGCAAAATTTATTTCAAAGCGTTGAAGACATACTCAAACACGTTCTTTGTTAGAACTGGGGATACACAGTTAGGTCAAGCATAATAAAGGAAATTCAAACAGATACAGATCCAATGAATAGCATTCCCGCTGGCGGGCTAATGAAACGGTTGCGCGCCCAGTCCATGGGAACCAGGCAGAACATCAGACAAAACACAGGTGCAGGACTCATGAGAAAAGCAATAGGCAAGCATTACAGCATCTTCTCCCCCACACAACCTCCAGCAGTTATCTTGTGCATTCCAACGCAGGAGCAGGATGATAGAAAACAAGCCGGGTGCAACAGGGAAAGGATATGTACACAGAGGTCACAGAAAACAGAATGGCAGCTTGCTGACATACTGCCCCCCTTAAAATACACTTACAACACACCTCCCGGGTCGGGCGGGAGATCTCCCGGGCTGGGCGGGAGACCTCCCGGTTTGTCCGGGAACCTCTTGTGGACGCTCCCCCCACGGCACCCTCCATCGAGGCTGCAGTCGTGAACACCAAAGACGCGGAGGTTTGTGGGACCGATCCCGAGTCCCCCTCCGTGTTAGGTAGATTTCCCTCAATTCCGCTCATGATCTTGCCAGATTCGGAACGATAGGAAAAAGGGAGTTCTAACAATATGTTGGATCCCCAAGCATCGAGAATAAATCCACGTTTTCAAGAAAAGCAAAATTTATTTCAAAGCGTTGAAGACATACTCAAACACGTTCTTTGTTAGAACTGGGGATACACAGTTAGGTCAAGCATAATAAAGGAACTTCAAACAGATACAGATCCAATGAATAGCTTTCCCGCTGGCGGGCTAATGAAACGGTTGCGCGCCCAGTCCATGGGAACCAGGCAGAACATCAGACAAAACACAGGTGCAGTACTCATGGGAAAAGCAATAGGCAAGCATTACAGCATCTTCTCCCCCACACAACCTCCAGCAGTTATCTTTTGCATTCCAACGCAGGAGCAGGATGATAGAAACCAAGCCGGGTGCAACAGGGAAAGGATATGTACACAGAGGTCACAGAAAACAGAATGGCAGCTTGCTGACACTTCACGGGAATCCTGATCTTCCTTGGTGGTCTCCCATCTAGCCACTGGAGACCACGGTGGTCCCCCATACTAACCACGGCCAACCCTGCTTAGCTTCCAACCTCTGACAAGATCACGCTAGTCACGGCTGAACCACTACAGCATATAACAACAACAATTTTGTTTATAGACCACCTTTCTCACTGGAACTGAAAGAAGACTGTGAACATGGGTGGGTGGGGGGACTTTCCAGACAGTAAGCGGCTTACAAAAGTTGGTAACGTTAGTCCATCAAACAGACTGCCCTAGAAAAGTGCTTGCCTGAGACACAAACCTATTCAGTTTACATCTATTTTTACAAACAAGGGCTGTGGTGGCTCAGTGGTTAAGACGCTGAGCTGCAGATTGGAAGGTTGGTAGTTCAGCAGTTCGAGACCCAAGTGTGCCGCATGACGGAGTGAGCTCCCGTCTCTGGTCCCAGCTCCTGCCAATGCAGCAGTTCGAAAGTAAGAAACTGCAAGTAGATAAATAGGTGCCACTTGGGTGGGAAGGGAACAGCGTTCTGTGCACCTTGGCGGCTACATGACCACAGAGAAGTCTGCGGACAGCGCTGGCTCTTTGGCTTGGAAACAGAGATGCGCACCGCACCCTAGAGTCGGATTCGACTGGCTTTCGAGCAAGGGAAACCTTTACCTTTACTGACATTTTATTGGAAGAACCAGGGTACGTCTGTAGTCCCCACGACATCATTCGTAAGAGTGCTTTGACTACAGTACCTTCAGAGCAAACGAGTAGGCCTTTTCTCCCACATTAATGGACTTGGGGTCGTCGTCATCCAGACTTTCCCAAATCCTGACGTCTCCATCACTACCGCAAGTGACGATGCAGCTGTCAAAACCAAAAAAAAATCATCATTACACATACATGTCTACAAAACTAGACCCAAACTACTGAGCATCATACATATCGAGTTTGCATTATGGGTACGTAATGGTTCCATTCGAACACACCAGCAACCCGTGAACGAGCTGGCAGGATTGGTGCTCCATCCCTCCCGCCCCCAACACAAAAGTAGCTAATGAGTTTGTTTATTTATTAAAAGGTTTTTTAGACTGCCTTTCCCTCGATGCAGAATCAAGGCTGTTCACAGTATAAAGCCGTATACATCATTCACAAACAGCAGTATAAAGTCAGAGGTGAAAAGGGGCCATGGGTCAGTGGTAGAGCATCTCCATGGCACATGAGAGGTCCTGGGTTCCAACCCTGGCATCTTCAGTTAAAAAGATTAGGTAATAGGGGATGTGAAAGACCTCTGCCTGAGACCCCAGAGAGCCAGTGCCAGTCTGGGTAGATGTCAGGACCCACAGCTAAACAACGAAGTACACGCTTTCAGGAAGGTTTTACTTTTATTGAAAAGCCATAGATGCGATAACAGGAACACTGTTAGGAATGGCGGGATACCTGTGCGCATAATAGGATATAGGGCATTCGTATGCCGCCCCCCCCCAGCAATAACCAATTAGGTGGGCTCCCGCGCGTGGGAGACTGCTGGACTCTCTAACGGTTGCGAAGCTGGGAACGGAGAAGCTCCCACGTACGATAGACACCACATTCTCCACCAGTACAACATCAAAGATAAGTGTTACAGCTCAGAAGCAATTAAGCGCATGGGAAGGAATGCACAGCAATTAGAAAACATCTCCACACTCATGGCAGCGTAGCTGACAGTAGATAGTACAGACCTTGATGGACCAAGGGTCTGATTCAGTGTAAGGCAGTTTCAAGTGACGTCTAAAATTAATAGAATAAAACTACCTTATGAGCTGGTTTTATTCTATTAATTTTAGACCTCACATGAAAGTGCCTTGCACTTACACAGGAGAAGGCACATTCCTTGGACAGCAAAGGTGACGAGCAAGTACTGGAGCGCATAAAACCAGACATGCCATTGGAAGGAAAAATCATAAAACTGCGACTGACTTGAGGAAGAACTCACTAGAAAAAGCAATTATGCTTGGATGGGTTAGCGGCAAAAGGGAACCTGGCCGTCAAAGAATGCGGTGGCTAGGCACCATAGAAGTCGACACCAGCCTGAGCATGGAACGACTTAAAGAAACAGGACAAGATTGGAAAACGTGGAGACAGCTGGCCCATAGAATCGCCAAGGGTCGGACAAAACTGAATGGCTAACAACCACCACCTTATGACCTCTCCCAAAGGCAAGCAAAGAGTAAATGGTTCTTACTTCCACCAGGATCCCATTCCACAGTTTCAGGGCTAATAGTGAAAGAGCCCTGGAATGGACAGCCATTAGCCAAACCTCCTTATTGGAAGGGATGGTAAATTTCCTGAGAGGTTTTCGGCAAACTGTAACTTGTCTTTACATCTGAAGTCACACGCTACGGTTGCACTTTCCCTGCAAGCTATGATTCCAAAAAGCAGTTTGCCTTTGGTTTGGAAACCTCGTTTGCAGAGGAAGTACAAACCACAGCTTGCCAGTTTGAGATCAGAAATCATTCTGGTGAGAGGCAGTTTGGTGTAGTGGTTAGGAGCGCAGACTCTAATCTGGGAGATGAGCACCGCTACCCTAGAGTCGGACTCGACTGGCTTTCGAGCAAGGGAACCTTTACCTTTTTTACCATCTGATGGTTGGCAACCCAAGACAGGGCCTTCTCAGTTATAGCTCCAAAGCTCTGGAACTCCCTCCCCAGGGAGATTCATCGGTCTCCTTCTATCGTGACCTTCCATCAGCGGGTGAAGATTTCTTTGTTTGGCTTGGTTTTCTCTCATTAACTCTCACTGGCCCTCCTCCCTGTCTGTTTTCATGTGCTTTGTATATCCCACTGCCTTAACATCCAAACTGTGTCAGTTCGAGCCCCGCGCTGGTGTGAGCAGCCAGCCTATTGTCCCCAGCAATTCGAAAGCCTCGGCGAGTACATAAAATGGGAACCACTCCTTAGAGAGGGTGGGCACACCAACTCCCCTCTCTGGGTAGGTGTTAGCTGTCGGTTGGGGACTTCCTCCTGGCCCAAGATCCGGAAGGCGGAAGAATCTACTCGGCTATGAAAAATCCCTGCAGTGGGATGCTCCGGCCAGGCGGTGGCAGTGTGGCGACACGACATACGGGTCCTGAAGCCCAACATCATCAAGCTGGTCGATGCGGCCGTTCGGGACATGACTGAGTCAAGCCAGAAACGTTTACACCGTGCAGGTACAGCGTGTGCAATTAAATGAATTATATGTTGTCTTCCCTATCCCCTATGAAACATTGTTAGTCCCCTGACTAAAGAGTAACTGTAAATCACTTTGAGCCCACTTGTGGGGAAAGCGATTAATAAATTGAAAGCATTATTATTATCATCATCATCATCATTATTATTATATTGTCGTGTGTTTAAGTTGCATTTTATTTTATTGGTTTAATTATTTTATTTGTATTTTAAATGCTTTTCATAATGTATGAAATGTTCTAACGTTGTGTGGCATAGAAAGGTTTCAAATAAATAAATAAAGAACGTAAGAGAAGCCAATTTTGGGTCAGGCCAATGGCCCATCCAGTCCAACACTGTCACACAGTGGCCAAAAACACCAGGGGCCATCAGGAGGTCCAGCAGTGAGGCCAGGACACTAGAAGCCCTCCCACTGTTGCCCCCCCCAAGCACCAAGAAGACAGAGCATCACTTGCCCCAGCCTGAGAGTTCCTATCTAGACCTTGTGGCTAATAGCCACTGATGAACCTCTGCGCCAGATGCTTATCTAATTCCCTCTTGAAGCCTTCCATGCTTGTAGCCGCCACCACTTCCTGTGGCAGGGAATTCCGTGTCTTCATCACTCTTTGGGTAAAGAAGGACTTCCTTTTATCTGTTCTAACCCGACTGCTCAGCAATTTCATTGAGTGCCCACGAGTTCTTATATTGTGAGAAAGGGAGAAAAGTACTTCTTTCTCGACCTGCTCTATCCCGTGTATAATCTTGTAAACCTCAATCATGTCCCCCCTCAGTTGTCGTTTCTCCAAGCTAAAGAGCCCCAAGCGCTTTAACCTTTCTTCATGGGGAAAGTGTCCCAACCCTTTTATCATTCTAGTTGGAGTCCACGCACTTAACCACTACACAAATAAAAAGGTGAAATGTACTGCCCACCGGCCTCTGGAATTGTAACGCCCATCCCAGATGACTTTTTCTGTAGCTTAGCAGTCCCCACCTGGCATACAGCCGGTTACCTCAAACTCCGACTTGTAGAGCAAGGAGATCGTAACAGCCCATAAAGGGGCAATTCTGTTGAGCAGGCTGAAAACAGTTCAAGCTTCTGAGAATTTTATAGATCAATAGCGGAATCTTGAACTGTATCCAATGGACAACAGGAAGCCAGTGTGTGTACTGCAGCTGTTTCAGGCTACGCCAGCAACTGGGGGAGTCACTTTGGCACCGCTGAGATCTATTTTTGCAGGACTCAGCTGCACTGCTTTGAAAAGGCCGGACATCTTACTCGTTCACTCCTTGTTTGGCTCCCACGGCCCCGTATGTGGGCCAAACTTGTTGGTCCGTGTGCCATCTGAAGCTCCTCATTGTTCCACCTGGCACAGGAGGAGTTCCATTTGGCTCAGACACAACTGTGCAAGTCAGTCGAGACAATTCTTTTCCGGCTAGGGGCTAAATAAACCTTCTCCTCAGAGCTGTTTCTGAACACGTGTAATCATAAATCATCCCAAAATTCCTTACAACAGACCTGTAAGGGACGCAAATATTACATTCATTAACATCGATTTTGGGGGGGGGGGGACGGGTCGCTGAAGAACAATGGCTTGCCTAAATTCAGTTTGGTGTAGTGGTTAAGTGCGCGGACTCTAATCTGGGAGAACCGGGTTTGATTCCCCGCTCCTCCACTTGCACCTGCTGGATGACCTTGGGCAAGCCATAGTTCTGTCAGAGCTGTTCTTGAAAAAGAACAGTTTCTGTCAGAGCTCTCTCAGCCCCACAGGGTGTCTGTTGTGGGGAGGGGAGGGGAAAGGAGTTTGTAAGTCACTCTGAGACACCTTTGGGTAGTGAAGGGCGGGGTATAAAACCAATTTCTTCTTCTTCTTCTAAATTTGTGGCTGAGATGCAAACCAGTAACTTAAGCGGAATCTAATTCTCTTACAGTGCAGTCCCGAGAACACTTTCTTGGGAGTAAGCCCCCATAGAACAGACCCAACTAGGATTCTGAGTAGACCTGCTTCAGACTGGTCTCTCAGCCACGATGCCACACCCCGTTCTCAAAGTCATTTCTCGACAGATGACATTCCTGACACAGAAATCGTTTCCACATAGGAAACTGTGCAAATTCCTCTCCTGGACCGTCACGTCACAAGTGTGGTAGGAAGCCAGCATCAACAATGCCTTTCTATCACGTACACATCTTATTTTGTGAGGATTTGTGCTGAGCAATGCTGTCCCCTCAGTCACTCACCTTCCAGCGTCATTAAAGCAGACGTCTGTGTGGCCTTCGGTGTGGCCGTACCGCATGGGCTTTTGGGACAAAGGCATTTTTCTCTGTGTTTAAAAAAAAAGAAGAAGTTGTTGAAATTACCAAAGAAGTACAAGCAGTTTGATGAAAACAAGTCAAACTTTGAACTCTAAAAGAAGTGCAAGGTGCGTACCTCTCACAGGAAAGGGGGCACAATTACACCATGACAGATTTGTAATAGCATTATTGTTTCCTGGACACACGGTGTTGTGTCACAAACATTTTATTCTTTTTATTTGTTTTACTTCATTTATACCCGGCCTTTCTCCCTATGTGGACCCAGAGGCTCAAATCATTCTCCGCTCCTCCACTTTATCCTCACAACGATCCTGTGAGGTAGGTTAGGCTGAGAGTATGTGACTGGCCCAAGGTCACCCAGCAAGCTTCCTCGGCAACATGGGGATTGGAACCGGGGTCTCTTAGACTAACATTCTAACCACTACACCATTTAGGACCAATTCACACATTGCACTTTCTTTCAGGATCACACCTTAAAGTGACTCCACTGCTTAGGACCAATTCACACCTCACAGTGTCTTTCAGGAGCACAGCAAGTGTGGCGTAGTGGTTAAGAGTGGCAGACCCTTATCTGGAGAACTGGGTTTGATTCCTCACTCCTCCTCCCCATGTAGCCTGCTGGGTGACCTTGGGCCAATCACAGTTCTCTACAAAATCTCTCAGCCCTACCTGAAAGAGAATGCAATCGTAAGCCACTTTGAGACACTTTAAGGTAGCGAAGAGGGTTATAAAAACCTCCTCGTCTTCATCTTCTTCTTCTACACCTTAATGTTTCTCCTAGTCTATCACTTCAAACACTGCACTGCTTATTTGCTTTACTTATTTTAAATGTCGATTTATTGTAAGGCAGCTTAATACATTTAAAAAATAGGACGAGTTCACACATTACATTTTGTTTCAGATGCACACCTGAAAATGTAACACAAGAATGTAAGTGTGCTAAATATGTGTAATGCACAGACAGCTCCTTGTGGGGCCTTGAACTCATGGGCAACCCAGCCTAGCTGCCCCATAACACAGGCTATTAAAGCTGTCCTAGAGAGCCCAAATTCTTTGCCTCCATGAAAAATTAGATTAAGGGTTTTTTAAAGTATTTTTTCACAACTTTTTTTGGGGGGGAAGGATCAAGGAGCTGACAACAGGCACAATTAAGCTGGGGTGGGGAGAAGGAAACATGAAGGGGGGTTAAAAGGAGGGGAGACCTGGGGAGGGAAATAGAAAAGGAGGGAGAGAGGAAATTTACTTTTTTACATCTGTATCCCACACTACAGCTCCAAACAATTTAAAGCCTACATGACAAAAGCACGCTTTAAGGCCATTTAGAAATCAACCCCCACCCCTTTCCTTGGGAGGAAAGCGATGGCGAACCTCAACAGCATGATAAAAAGTAGAGACATCACCCTGCCAACAAAAGTCCGCACGGTCAAAGCAATGGTATTCCCAGTAGTCATGTATGGCTGCGAGAGTTGGACTATAAGGAAGGCCGAGTGCCGAAGAATAGATTCTTTTGAACTATGGTGCTGGAGAAGACTCTTGAGAGTCCCTTGGACTGCAAGGAGATCAAATCAGTCAATCCTAAAAGAAATCAACCCTGACTGTTCCCTGGAAGGCCAGATAATGAAACTGAAGCTCAAAGACTTTGGCCACCCAATGAGAAGGGAGCACTCCCTGGAGAAGACCCTGATGCTGGGAAAGATTGAAGGTCAAAGGAGACGGGGACGGCAAAGGATGAGATGGTTGGACAGTGTCATCGATGCAACGAACATGAAATTGAGCAAACTTCAGAAGACGGCGGAAGACCGGAAGGCCTGGCGGGATCTGGTCCATGGGGGCGCAAAGAGTCGGACTCGACTGTGCGACTGAACAACAACCCCACCCCTAGGGTCACCATATTCTGAAAAGCCAAAAAAGAGGGTATATTTCCCAACTGACTACTTCAAACAAGCGATCACTATGACAAATCTCATTTTAAATACCCCTCCTATTTAAGCTGTGATAAATGCTACTAACTAGGAATATTCCTAATCTCCCAACCCAAAAAGAGGACATTTTCAAAGAGGCTGAAGTTGGTTCCCGGTTCCTTATTCATTCCTTATTTGTGACTTGTTCGTAAATTGAAGCCCGAATATTGAGGACGGTGTAAAAGCTCTGAACCCCAAAATAAGGTTTGGACCACCACAAATCATATACCCTGACATTCAGGGGACCTTGTACTTCGAGAGGACGTATGCTGTTTCCTGGTCCAAAGCCCCACTGCTTGTGTCACCTGCTCCCAGGACAATCGCACAGGGAGACACTGGGGCCAGGCTGCACCCCAAAACAATATTTGGACCAGTGTTCCCTCTAAGCTGAGTTAGTGTGAGCTAGCTCACAGTTTTTAAGCCTCCGGCTCACACATTTTTGTCTCGGCACAGGAAGGAGGGCTCCAGAACACACTAATTTATGCAGTAGCCAAATCACCTGCTCACAACTTTAATGCCAGTAGCTCACAAAATACAATTTTTGCTCACAGGACTCTACAGCTTAGAGGGAACATTGATTTGGACCACCCCAAATGACACATTCCCCACACTCGGGAGCAGTGTTCCCTCTAGGCTGAGTGAGTGTGAGCTGGCTTTAATGCCAGTAGCTCATAAAGTAGAATTTTCGATCACAAGACTCCACAGCTTAGAGGAAGCATTGCTTGGGAGACTGTCGCCTGCAAGATGCCCTTGTTAGCTGCCCTGAGCCTTCGGGGAGGGCAGGATACAAATCTAAAGAATACATTAAAAAAATAAATAAGAAGGCATACAGTGGTGCCCAGTCCAAACACTGGTTCTGGCACGACAAGCTTCTATTTGGGTTGCCCCCAAGAAACCTGTATTAAAAAGAAGATTTGAATAAGGAAGCGGAACGACTGCATGCCCCCTGCACCCCAAAATAAAGTTGGGACCACCAAACATCATACTCCCCACGTTCAGGGGACTCTGCCCTTCCTGGTCCAAAGCCCACTTCTTGTGCCAGCCGCTTCAAAGGACAATCGCACCGGCAGACACTGGGGCCAGGCTGCACCACAAAACAATCTTTGCAGTGCTAGGGTTGCCCGGTCTGTCCTGCAGGTCCCCCTGGAGGGGGGGTAGGGTTGCCAGATCCAGGTTGGGAAAGTCCTAGAGATTTAGGGATGGAGCCTGGGGAGGACATGGACCTCAGTGGGGTACGATGCCATAGAGTCCACCCTCCAAAACATCCTTTTTCTTCACAGGAACTACTCTCTGAAGTCTGGAGATGAGCTGTAGTTCCAGAGGTCCTGTCTGGAGGCTGGCGTCCCTCGGAACGACACATCCCCACAGTCTGGAGAGTGTCCCCTGCAAGAAGACAGAACTGGGAACCAACTTCAGTCTGGTACATTTTCATCAGTGTTTTAAAAAATAGCCCAAAAGAAGAAGAAGAAGAGATTGGATTTATACCCCGCCCTTCACTTGGGAGTCTCAGAGCGGCTTACAAACTCCTTCCCCTTCCCCTCCCCACAACAGACACCCTGTGAGGCAGGTGGGGCTGAGAGAGCTCTTGACAGAAACGGCTCTTTTTCAAGAACAGCTCTTATCAGAACTACGGCTTGCCCAAGGTCATCCAGCAGCTGCAAGTGAAGGAATGCGGAATCAAACCCAGTTCTCCCAGATTAGAGTCCATGCACTTAACCACTATACCAAACTGGCTCTCAAAAGAGGAGGGACACCAAAAAAAGAGACAACATGTCCTCTAATATGAGGACATCTGGTAACCTACCCCCCCCAACACACATCATTTAAAACATATTTTAAAAAGAGAAGAATTAACAAAACAAAGCTAAAATACTCACAAAACAGAGTCAAAATTAGGGCCAACCTCCACAGTGTCTCGGGCCCACAATATTTATAGGGGCCCACAGAGACGTTTTAATTTCTTTTAAAATCAGAAAGGAGGGGGTGAATTTTTAGAGTTGAGGGAAACGTTTTAATCTTTTTCTCACATCAGGGGGGAAAACAACACATTTAGGGCCCGCGAACCTTTATGAAATTTTGCCTATGACAGGGGGGAAAATGCTGAAGTAATATCAGAAGTAGCTTTTAATATCGATATTTGCCCGGCAAGGTGGGATATAAATGGAAAGTAATATTATTATTGTTGTTGTTGTTATTTCATTTATTACTTTCGATCTATATCCCGCCTTGCCAGCGGAGTAATTTTAATATCAACATTATCAATAACATCGATATTAATAATATTTTAATATCAATATTAAATGAACTTTTAGGGTCAAAGAAAATATTTTAATCTCTTTCTCAGATTGGGGGGGGAGCAACACATTTAGGGCCCGCGGAACTCTACTGAAATTTTGCCTACGACAGGTGGGAAAATGCTGAAGTAATATCAGAATATCGGAATTTTAATATCGATATTATTATTAATAATAATGATAATTCATTTATCTATTAATTTCACTTTATATCCCACCTTGCCAGCAGAGTAATTTTAATATCGACATTATCAATAACAATATCGATATTATGAATAATATTTTAATATCAATATTAAATGAACTTTTAGGGTCAAAGAAAATGTTTTAGTCTCTTTCTCACATTGGGGGGCAACACATTTAGGGCCCGCGGAACTTTATGAAATTTTGCCTACGACAGGTGGGAAAATGCTGAAGTAATATCAGAATATTAATATGATGATGATAATTCATTTATCTATTGCTTTCGCTTTATACCCCGCCTTGCCAGCAGAGTGATTTTAATACCGACATCATCAATAACAATATCGATAGTATGAATAATACTTTAACATCGACATTAAATGAACTTTTAGGGTCAAAGAAAATGTTTTAATCTCTTTCTCACAGGGGGGG